CCGTAATACTGTCCTTGACTAACAATGCCACACCTCCCCCTCTTTTACCACCTTCCCTGATCTTACTGAAACATCTAAACCCCGGAACCTGCAACAACCATTCCTGTCCCTGCTCTATCCATGTCTCCGAAATGGCCACAACATCGAAGTCCCAGGTATCAACCCATGCTGCAAGTTCACCCACCTTATTCCGGATGCTCCTGGCATTGAAGTAGACACACTTCAAACCACCTTCCTGCCTGCCAGTACACTCCTGCGACCTTGATCTGCCAGTCTTTGAGATGTATGGCCTACACACCTGGCGTCACACTGGCACTGAAATTGATTTACCACATTACTCATTTGCCTGATGGGCTGTTTTATGCTACTACTAAACAGTGGCAACATGAGTGGCATTCACATAATTGTCAATTATAATTAATGGTTGCCATCTCCATGGCAATGCCTCCACCAATCAGAGATGGTAGAGGCATTGTCATGGAGACGGCAACCAACCAATCAGCACTCTCCTCTCATACAATATTGATATTGAATTGCCCCTTAAGTTGGTATTCTTGCAAATTGTCCTGATTAATGCAAGATGAAAAGTTTCGACAGAATGTATTTTTTTCACCAATTCACAAGTTCGAAACTTCCAAATGACTTTGGCACTTTTCTGTTATGATCCATCCTCATGTGTAGTCTGCTTCATAGGTTACTTAGCATTGGTGCAGCATCAACAAAGCCAAACCTGATTCCCTACTTTGTAATCTGTCCAAAGATAATGGCACTGAAGAGCAGAAACTATGGCTTACGACTCAAGTGGTGTGGTGTCTCTAGCCAGAACACCCAGGTTCAAGTCCCACCTTCTCTAGAGGCATGTCATACATATCTCAACAGGTTGATTAAAAAATATCTACAATTAGGTGGTCTTCAAGGCTTCATGAAGATCAAGTGATTTTAAAAAATGATAATGAAAAATTATCTGCACCAATTTTAAAATAAAGAGTGCCTGATACCTTCATCCAGTTCGAAGACACTGAGGGCAATTTCATTGACCCTGTTCGTTATCTGGACTGAGATAAAATAGACTAAATTTTGTTGTCCTTCTGATCCATGTAATTCAGAAATTTGTCACCTAACGCTGTTCAGCACTAAACTGTCAGTGAGCTGTGAAAATTCTTCAATGTGAGTCTCAGAAACTGAAAAATAAATTATGCATCATGGCAACATTTATATCTGAAGAATTCACAGCTTAAAATAGGATTTTCAATGCTGCAGTTCCAGTCACACGGTGTCATAGATGATATCTTCAGCAATGTACTAAGCCCAGTGGTGAAAGGGAGTGGCATAAAATAAGTACAGCTGAAGGTGAACTGTTTATGTTTAAGAACCTGCACTGTACCTGTGCTGATAGAAACCGAGCTTTCTTGCAGATGTTTTAATCAATCTGTTCTGAACTGTTATAACACACCTCTGGAAGAGGTGACACACTACCATTGCACTACAAGAGCCCTCCATGCTTTGCTGCACTATTAAACACATCAATTAAGTCAATCCAGTTTTACAGGATCTGTAAAACAAAAGACAGTTGCAGATGCTTCTTAGAAGCAGTTTGAACAGTCAACCATCCAATTTACAATCTGTCGCCCACACATAATTTAGTCAGGGTGCCTGAAATTTCTGTGAACCAGCTTCCTGGTGACATCATCAACAATTGCTAGTTTGATAGCAAGCAATCAATTGAACCAAACACCAGGTAATGGAGCCAGGCAAAAAGCAAAGTGTAATTCTTTGTAAATATTTAACTTTTAAAAGAGTCCGGCTACTAATGGGGTAGAAATTGGTCTGGGTTGTGTTTTTTTAGCACAAACTAAAGGTAAGATAAACCAACATAGCAGTATGGAGTGTTGTGACCAATCTGCATCATCATGCCATTATTTAATTGGTAGGGATTTTTTTGATATTTTTTAAATCCAGAAGTGCTGTTAAACACAACTGATTTTTTCTTTGTCACCAAATCACCCATGGTATTTTTTTCATCGACTAACCACCACCAATAATTTACTTGCATCTTGAGGACTTTTTCCAATGTAGATACTTTCTAATGAACCTGTTAGAGGTGTTGTTACGCATTTCTGGTGCAGGTAGGGCTTGAAAACTGAGCTCCTGGTCCAGAGGCAGGGAGAATACCACTGTGCCACAGATTTTTTTTTTAGGGAGCTTTTTTTCAAAAAATTTCTTATCAGCCAGTTCAGAGCTGTTATCATACACCTCAAGTGCAGATGGGTTTTGAACCCGAGCCTCTTGGTCCAGCGCTAGGGGCATTACTACTGCACCACACAAGCTTAGGGACCCTTTTTAAGGCATCCATATGGTATTTTTTTTATTTAACCTAACTTTCTAATCAACCTTTTTGGAGATATTATCACACACTGCTGGAGCAGGTGGGACTTGTACCCGGGTCTGTTGGCCCAGGGTTAAGGACACTACCACTCCACCACAAGACGGCTTCCACTTTTTTAAAATTTAACCTACTTTTCTAATTAACCTGTTCAGAGATGGTATTATACCATCAACGATGGTACCATTGCAGATAATGCTGTATCAGTTATCCTATCGACAATGGTACTATTGCTAATGATGCTGTTCCAGTTATCCTATCGACGATGATACCATTGCGAATAATGCTTTATCAGTTATCCTATCGACAATGGTACTATTGCGAATAATGCTTTATCAGTTATCCTATCGACAATGGTACTATTGCTAATGATGCTGTATCAGTTATCCTATCGACAATGGTACTATTGCTAATGATGCTGTTCCAGTTATCCTATCGACAATGGTACTATTGCTAATGATGCTGTTCCCGTTATCCTATCGACAATGGTACTATTGCTAATGATGCTGTTCCAGTTATCCTATCGACAATGGTACTATTTGCTAATGATGCTGTTCCAGTTATCCTATCGACGATGGTACTATTTGCTAATGATGCTGTTCCAGTTATCCTATCGACAATGGTGCTAATGTGAATGATGCTGTATCAGTTATCCTATTAAAAATGGTCCTATTGCTAATGGCCCTTCTGCAAAAAGCCCCAGTACCAATGTTCCTATTGTCAGGCATTAAGCTTGGTTAAACTCAAGACATACTAGAGCCCAAGTGTTTGGTGAGCAATGGGTGGTACAAGTGGGAAAAGCCATCTATTGAATTTGAGTGAATTTTTAATTCATATACTTAGCAGCACAATCTCCATTGCGCAAACCATAATTCAGTTCAGCACATTCATGATATCTTAAACTCAATATAGGCTCTTGGCCCTCATGCCGATTAAACCTTGTGCACTGTGATAGTGTCCCTATCTCTGATCCAGGAGGTCTGTATTCAAGTCCCACCTGCCCTGGAGGTAGGTGTCTCCTCACATGTTTGAGTAGGTTGATTAAAAATAAGTATAACCTATTTACATGGAGTCTTTGATCAGGTCCTAGGGGTTGTGAATAGGCTACTGGTGTGAGACAGGGATCATGGTAATAGTTTTATCATCACGAAAGCATTTCTGCCCCACTTCTGGGTAATTAATTTCACAATGAGGCCTCTTTTTAACATTTTCAGGTTTAATGCCTGGTGGAAGTCTTGGATTAGCTTGGTTCTGTTGCTGTAATCTGTGACTGTATTTTTAGGCCAGTGCGTTCGAGCAAGTTGACAGCCTTGTCGAGAAATGCCGATAATGTCACTGATGTTTGGCTCCCAGTGGAAAGCAGTGGCTGAGGTTGGCAAATCAACGCTTCAGTATTTACCTCCAACCCTCACTTCTTCTGAGTTCAGCTCTGTGCTGGGAAGTATAGGACTGTGTTCCCATGAGCAAGCAGAAGGTCAGTTCTGTGAGGAAGTTTAGAGTGCTGCAGTGGAGAAGGGTAGAATCTGCACAGCCCCTCAGCTTCATAGAGAAGCTCTTAAGAGTTTAATCTGAAGGACGTTGCAAATAAGGGGACGAAGCCTAGTGAGGCTGCAAGGAGTCAGAACTGTGGGCACTCAACCAGCATGATAGGCATATGTCTTATTCCTGCAGTATTTTCAGTTTCAAAGCAGAGTGAAAGGAATTGAGAGTTATGCTGCCAGGCTTAGTGGAGGGAGGATGGGTGGACAATGGAGCCAGTATAAAATGGTTGGCATGCTTCTGTGCTGTGTCTCCTCAGTAATCCTATATATAAAGTGAGTGACTGATGTGTTGATCGGCACTTTTCCATTCAATAGCTTCAGATGCGCACTGTGTGTTACGCCCTCCTGGGAAAACTGGAGCAGAAGGGCACCCCGATGTTTCCTATGTGCTCACCCTGAAGCTCATCCTGGGTACAAGTAGGTGAACATGTGGCTATTACAATAATCTGATGAATGAAGCCTTTAGAACATATTAGTTCAACGGGGCTTACAATTGTAAGCAGCGGCTCAAGTCCATGCCCTGCTGAGGTGAGGATAATGGGATAAGATTGGATGAGGAAAGGGATAGACAAGCACTGAGGGTATTCAAAGGGCAGTCTGGCCTGACATCTCTTCTCAAGCGCTTTCGTCATAAGCGGAAAATGCCGCTCTACAGCAACAAAATAGTCTAGTCGCAGGTTTCAACTGTTTTTGCTCAAGATTTGTTTTGTTTTGAAAATGAGAGTGTCTAATTTTAGCTGATTGTACCTGTCCTCTTTCCTGCTAGACAGTGAAATATCATGCGGGTGAAATTAGCAGATCAATTTCCAACAAAGCTGTGACATGCCAGAGTTTGAGGGTCTGCTGTGTGGCTGAATCATAGAATTATAGCGCAGTGCAGAATCTGTGGTGAATTTTCAAAGAGCAATCCGTTGTAAAAGAGGGGACACTTTTGTTTTCCAATTGGAACAGGAAAACCGAGCAGGAATTACTCAGGGGGAAGCATAAATTTGGTTGTTTCACTTTGATTTGTTGCCAACAACATTTTCGAACACTGTCAGGAGCTGTGTTCTTTACTTTCATGCAACTCCCTGCAGGTCGTGGTGAAGACCAGGACAGAATATCAGCTGCAACAGAAGAAGAAGAAAAAGCTACACATCCCCGGAATTAAGAAACTGAACATTAACCTTTATGATGAAGTCTCAGAAAAAGTCAAGGTGATCGAGTTAAATCATTCAGCTGATTGTGAACAGTTTGCATACACATTAAGTAAAGTTTATTTTTCAACGTCAAATGTCAAAGTCGAATAACAGCCACTTCATATTGAATATATATTGCCAGTTTCTCACTCTCAATATGATTTGATTCCTTTAGCTCACTGGATTGATTCTCATTACAATGGCATTCCTGGCCTGCCTGTTAATGCTGGTCATGTACAAGGCATTCTGGTATGATCAGCTAAGCTGCCCAGAGGGTTTTGTATTTAAGGTAAGCTGACCGTCAGTGTTCCTTTTATTATTTCCAGATTTATAGATAATGAAAAACGCCCTTTGCAAAAGCTGCATGGGGAAGATTTTCTTATTTGTTGTTGCAATAAAGATCTTCAGAGCCTTAACTCTCAATGTAAAATAGCAATATCTCACAGGCACACTTTCTAAAGTATGTGTGACGAGTATTAAAATTCAGTTGCTTCATGTGGAATGAATTCTGGTCATTACCAACATTGCAATAGGGATGTTTTTAACCTTGATGAGAAGAAGGAGGGAACCTGTTAATCTTGAGTGGAGAAAATTCGCCTCATGCTTGTTGACCCATTTAGCAACATTGACATATTTTGGGAATAATGAGAACACAGGAACGTATAAAGATGCAAATTTCTTTGATCTGTGTATGTTCGGTAGTGACCAATTAAATGGTGCAACACTGGGCAATATCACACAATCTGTTATTCCCTTTAGTATTGTAAAGTGTACCAGCACACTGTACAGCAGGCTATATGATGCCATAGTGTATTAATGCTCTGAACAGCATACTATACACTACCATTGTGTACTAACAAATACTGCAGTATTTCAGTGTACAGTACAATGCTATAGTGTGAGTACAAACACAGCACGTTTGACATTGTTCAACGCACTTACACACTGTGCTTCGGTTTGTATACACAGTACAGTACAAAGTTACACCTAGACGCTGTGTTCAGACACATTATTCATTATTCAGTACCTTGCACAATGAACACAGTGCTGTGTGTTGCTATAGTATACTGAAACACAGTGTAACACATTGCGTCATTTACTGACGCTCTGAAAAACTAGCACACTCTACAATAGACTGCAGATTGCACAGTGTGTGAACAGACTAAATGATGCTCTGATTCTTTCCAACAGTATGTATTGTTTTCGTTGTGATTAACATAAGGCACATCTGGATTGCATTTACACATATTGGTATCTATGATTTCTTTAGGAGTATGCATGATAACTTGTGTGCTCTGAGATTAACCTCCTCTCTTTGAATAACTACTACTTGCTTGAGGTTATTTCAGTTCTTTATGCATCAGGACCCTAACTTGAATTTTAAATGAGTAATAGAGTGGATAGTTCACAATGACCTTGGCTTTCCTGAACTCTGCTAATCCTTCGTTGCATTCAGTATTATCACCTATTCGATGAATCTGAGCATGCTCTACTGAACTGCCTTAGGTTCTGTGTGATTGTCTTTGGTTCTTTTCATTATTAGTCAATATCTCCTTCATCTTCCAGCTGGTTTGTGCATTTGGACAATGCATCATGCAGGTCAGAGCTCAATATCCTGGCAGTGGTCATGATGCTATCATTCTGTGGCAGTCTGCTGTGCCAACTATTTTTGAGCCAGTAGACCTACTGGATGATTAAAGGCTATCTGTCCACTGTCCATATGGCTAACAACTCTGTGTAGAACTTGTAGACATGATGTACAGCACGCGTACAATGAACACCATGCCACCAAACTCTCATAGAGCAAACCAGTGGTTAGCTGAAACAGTGCTTCCTTGGACCGCTCAGAGAAGCCTGGAAGACTTAAGTATTGCAAGGATTGTGGAAAATGGATTCATTTCAAAAGTAGATGAATATGTTGTTCCGTTAAAAGAGGTCATTGAAAGTTCAATGTGGGCATTGGAGATTTTTTAAACTGATGTACATAGAAATTGTAGTCAGATGGCCTCAATGTGGATTTTACCAGTTTCAAAATCTCCCCACCCCCGGCCTCATCCCATGTCTAACCCTCCCTCTCATCCCCACCTCCTCAACCTGACACAACCTGTCCATCTTCTCTCCCACCTATCCAGCCCTCCTACTTCACTGACCAATCCCCACCACTCCCTACCTGCGCTCACCTATCGCCATCCCACTTACCTTCCCCAGCTCCACCCCTCCTCTCTCTATTTATTTCTGAGCTCCCTTCCTCCTCCCCCATTTCTGAAGAAGGGACCCCACCCGAAACGTCAGCTTTCCTGCTCCTCTGATGCTGCCTGGCCTGCGGTGTTCATCCAGCTCCACACTGTGTTATCTCTGACTCCAGCATCGGCAGTCCTTGCTATCTCAGGCCCTGTAGTTTCCTGTGTTTAAAGTTTATCAAGTTGAGTGGTGACCTTATAGAGGTTTATAAAATTATGAGGGGTATAGATAAGGTGAATGGCAGGTGTCTTTTTCCCAGGATGGGAAATTTCAAGACTAGGAGGCATATTTTTAAGGTGAGGGGAGAGAGATTTAAAAAAGACATGAGGGGCAATTTTTTTACATGGAGGGTGATTTGCGTATGGAATGAACTTCCTGAGGAAGTGGTGGACGTGGGCACAATTGCAACTTTTAAAAGACACTTGGATAAGCACACGAGTAGGAAAGGTTTGGAGGGATGTGGGCCAAACGCAGGCCAGTGGGACTAGTTTAATTTGGGATTATTTCAGCACAGGCTGGTCGGACCGAAGGGTCTGTTTCTGTGCTGTATGACTCAATGAGCAGCAACTCACACAGCACATGCCTGGACAATTAGAATATTCCTTCAGGCGGTGTATCCTGTCTGCTCAGTAAAACATGACTTCTCTCCTCCTGTTCACCTCCATCCTTGAGCCCTCCAGTGCTGCTTAGCAACAGGTCATTTTGCCAACACATACACCACAGCCAATGTGGCCAAGATAACACTGGCTTTTCTCAAGGCAAGAACAGTCATTCTGTTTACAACTTCGATCATTTGTGTTGCTGAGGTTTCTTCACTTTGTAACTGTCAATTTAAACTGGTTATCTCCCGCATAAAGGTTACATCGAGAATAGATGCTGAAAATAAAAGATACAGCCAAAAAAAAGCTACCGAAAGCCAACTCCCAAAATACTTCTTGTAAAACTGCCTTTTGGAGCTTAATTTACTGTATATCTGGATACAATGGGACCAGAAATAAATTCTGCTCTTTCCGAAGTAGCTCATTCAATTTACAATGCTGCTGTTTTCCCTGCAGTGTAACCATTTCTCTTCCAACGTTGTCAAAGCTTTCATAGCTTTTCAAAAGGTGTTCAGATTACAGCAGGACCAGAAATAATTTCTGCTTTTTCTGAAGTAGCTGCAGTGTGCAAAGGGAAGGAGAGATGGTTTATCAAGAGGGGCGGGGATGGCCTAGTGGTGTTATTGCTGGACTGTTAAGCCAGAGACACAGGTAACGTTGTGGGGACCCAGGTTCAAATCCCACCACTACAGATGGTGGAATTTGAATTTGAATTCAATGAGTATCTGGAATTAAGAATCTAGTGATAACCATGAATCCATTGCCAATTATCAGGAAAAACCCAGCTGGTTCACTAATATACTTGAGGAAAGGAAACTGCCATCCTTACCCAATCTGGCCTACATGTGCCTCCACACCCACAGCAACATAAATGACTCTTAACTGCCCTCTGGGCAATAAATGCTCACCTACCCAGCAATGCCCTCATCCTGTGAATGAATAAAGGGAAAAAAAATTAAGTTAATTTCAGTCATTGCATTGAGGTCAGCACATTTTTGTGGAGAATGGAGTGGACGGCATTGTGCAGGTCTGTTTGAATTTTGACTGGGCCAATATTACAGTCTCCACATAAAAAAGAAAACTCATACGAGCATGTATGTGTCAGGCATAAAGAAACACTAGCATGACTGATGTTACTTTTCTGGGAATGATGCACACATACATGGAGTGGGTGCAGTGTACATTTATCAGAACACTATGTAGGGCTGAAGGATTTCAGTTCAGTAGAGATGGTGGGGAAATTGTCCAGTTCAGAGCACAGAGTTATATTTCAAGCACCTGTCTACAGAGTTATTTTTAAGTACCTGTCCAAGAATATTACAACACTCCTCTGGAGCAAGTGGGACTTGAATGTGGGCCTTCTAGCTCAGAGGTAAGGACACAACCACTACACCACAAGACCTCTCCAGAGTGCAGAAAGTCAAGGAGAGATTTAATACAGGTGTTAGAAATGATCAAATCAGTTGATAGAGCAAGAGGGTTTAAATTGGTAATTGGGCCAGAAAGAAGGGTGATTTACTATTGGAGGATAAAGGAAAGAAGTAAGATGGGTGAGCTCATGGTGGAAAACCCATCCAATTGTGTGTAAAAGCATCTCTGGATATTTATTTAAAAAAGAATGAGAGGACTAGGTCTTTTGTGGGACAGGGGCAGTATCGCTACCTCTGAGCCAGGAAGCAAGGGTTCAAGTCCCATCTCCTGTGGACATAAGTCCAAACATGCCTTAGCAGGTTGATTGTAAATATGGAGTGAGAGGGGGAAAATGTCTGGCAAGCTGATTGATAAAGAGAGGCTAAGAAAAGATTGGTAAAAGTTTCAGAGAGGCATGAGATTTTCTTCTTACAGATAGAAGATATGATGTGGACTGCAAAGTCCGAAAGCTGAGGCAGTGGAATTAATAATAATGTTCAAAAGAAAATTGGAAATGCGCTTCAAGAGGAGATACTAAAACGCTATGGGGAAAGAACAGGGCGTGGGACTGATTGGATAGTCGTTTCATTGAGACAATGGGTACTTTCTGTGCTGTGAGATTCTATTCATTTCAATTGACACTGATTGAAGATTGGGAAATACTGGCTTGGATACCTGCTGTTGTCTGGAATTTTACGGCTGGTTTAGGAGAGAGCAGGACACGTGATTGGGTTCTGACAGGTACAGGCTTAAATTCTGAAGAGTTTGTTGATGGGAGCACTACAGATTCTGTCACTATTTAAGTTAAGGTGAGGTGGTTTCACAAAGCACCCAGCTCTTGTCAAGCATGTTACTGTGTGGGTTTGCCACTCTATTAGATTTGTGTATCAAATCAAGGTGGTGTTGAGCTAAGCCGCCCAGAAGAGGCTTAAGTCACTTTACTGAAAAGCAGGTCATTAATTCCATTAATTAAAGCCAAGTTAAGCTGACAAATGGTCCTTGGTGCAAGGCTGGAACAGGTTATGCTGTTGCTAACCATGGAGTGTAAATGTGCCTTTGACTTCAGAGAACATTGATTTGACAGCACGTCAGTAAATCCCAATGCTTACTTTCATAAAATCAACCTGCGATTTCATCATTTGCTTTCTTTCTGCCTGGGGATAGAGAACAAAGGTGCATCATATTTGTATAATCACACAGAAGCAATACAATGATCATTCATAGTACATGAATATATAACAGACATGATTTAGCTCTTCTTCAAAGACGGGGCTGTATTTAATGTTGTTAGCTTTACCCAGTAATATATTCTGACTTTCTTCAATGTACATTGCGCTGTGGCTAGAATTGCAGAATCATAGAATTTTTCAGTTCAGATGGAGGCCATTCAGCCATTCTGGAGTCTGTACTGGCCTATTCTCCAGCCCTATCTCCAAAGCCCTCTAAGTTCATCCCTTTCAAATATGTAAACAGCTCTCTTTTGAAACCTCCTTTGGAATCCATTTCCACCTATTTATTGACATTCTAGCTAGTGAAAACAGAATATCCTTCATTACCCTGTCAAAATATTTCATCATTTTGAAGACCTCGATAAGGTCACCTCTTAATCTTCTCTGCTCCAAGAAGAATGAACCCAATTTCTCTAATCTTTCTTTGTATGTAAAATCCCTCGTTCCTGATATCGTTCTAGTAAAACCCCTTTGCACTCTCGCCAGGGCTCTAATATCTGTCCTTAATTAAGGTGTCCAAAACAGAATACAGTACTCCAAGCGTAGTCTGACCAATGATTTGTAGAGGTGTAGCATCACTTCCTTGCTGTCATATTGTATGCCTCTATTATGCCTCTTGGGTGGCACAATGGCTCAGTGGTGAGCACTGCTGCGTCACAGCACCAGGGACCCGGGTTTGATTCCTCCCTCGGGCGATGGTCCATGTGGAATTTGTACATTCTCCTCATGTCTGCGTGGGTTTCCTCTAAGTGCTCTGGGTTCCTCACCCAGCCACAAAGATGTGCAGGTTAGGTGGATAGGCCGTGGGAAATGCAGGGTTACAGGGATAGGGTGGGTCTGGGTGGGATGCTCTTTGGAGGCTCACTGTGGACTCAATGGGCCAAATGGCCTCCTTGCACACAGTAGCCATCCTATGGTTTAGAAACCCAAGTATCCTCCAAAACCTCTCAACAACTGTTTCCACTTGCCTGGCCACTTTCAGAGAATCATGCACTTGAACCTCGATGTGCCTCTATTCCTGTATACCACTCAAAGTTGTACCATTGAGCCTCTATTGTCTGTCCATGTTTCTTCAACCAAAATGTATTACCTCACATTTCTCTGCATTGAAATTCATCTGTCCAGGTGACTGCCCATTTGGCCAACTTGACAGTGTCTGGCTGGAATCGCTCAGCATCATCCTCACAATTCACTATTTTCCCCAGCTTAGTACCATTTGCAAAATTAGAGATTTTGCCCTCAACACCCATCTCCATATTGTTCACATAAATCAGAAAAATGAGGGTCCCCTGGGGGACACCACTTTCAACATCTCCAATCTAAGAGATGCCCACATATCCTTACCCTTTATTTTCCACCTTTTAGACAACTTTGAATCCATGCTGCCAAGGACCATTAATCCCAAACTTTTTTAATTTGCCAACCAACTTGCCATGGGCAGCATGATGGCTCAGTAGTTAGCACTGCTGCCTCAGAGTGCTAGGGACCTGGGTTTGGTTCCAGCCTCAGGTGCCTGTATCTGCGTGGGTTTCTGACAGGAACTAGGTTCCATCCCACAGTCTAAAGATGTGTAGGTTAGATGGATTGGCCACGCTAAATTATTGGTAGTGTGAAAGCTAGTTGGATTAGCCATGGTAAATGCGAGTTTACGGGGATGGGGTGAGGGCTGGGCCTGGGTGGGATGCTCTTTGGAGGGTCGGTACAGACTTGATGGGCTAAATGGCCTCTTTCTTCGCTGTCAGGATTCTGTGTTTCAAATGCTTTCTGGAAGTCCAAATACACAACATCCATAGCATTACCCTCAGACACTGCCTGCGTCACCTTGTCAAAGAACTTAATTAAATTTTTCAAACCTGCCCTTTACAAAGCCATGTTGACTGTCTACTATTAATTTATTTTTCCTCTTAAGTGTATATTTATCATATCCTGTATCATGGCCTCCATGCTGGCTGTGCTGGAAAGTTACCCCATTTTGCATTATGCAGATTTCCTTGGTGAACTATTTTCCACATGCTGTGATGAAATGCTCTGATATAAAAATGCAGCTGATGTGCCAGGAAACGTCAGTTTGGAGGCAACAAAGCTGCATGGAATCATGGGAGCAATGGGGAGGTGGGAGGAGGCTACTTGTTCCCTTTGTATTGTATCCCCTCAAAGTATCTCCCAGCTGGAGTGCCTCTTGTCGGAATCATGATGAGTTCCAGGTTGGTGCTGTCCATCGGGACACTGTGACAGGGGAGGCAATGACCTAGTGGTATTATCACTGGACTGTTAATCCAGAAACTCAGGCAAAGTGGACCTGGGTTCAAATCCTGCCATGGCAGATTGTGGAATTCAAATCCAATAAAAATCTGGAATTAAGAGCCTAATGGTGACAATGAATCCATTGTCAATTGTTGGGGAAAAGCCCATCTAGGTCATTAATGTCCTTTAGGGAAGGAAACTGCCAAGCTTACCTGGTCTGGCCTACGTGTGACTCCAGACCCACAACAATGTGGTTGACTGTAACTGCCCTCTGGTACAATGAGGGATGGGCAATAAATGCTGCCTAGCCAGCGATGCCCTCATCCCGTGAATAAACAAAAAACAAAATCACCATAGGACTTGGCAAGCACTTATGGAAAAGATAGAGAGTCAGAAAGACATTAGGCGAAATGGGCCAAGCAACAAGTCATTCAGGAGTATCAAGCTTGCTTTCTGGAGGGAACTGAGCCTGACACTCCTTGTCATTGTCTTCTGCCTCTCTGTCTTACTCAACACTCCTGTGCACCTAGCTGGTCATCATCCTCCTCCTCTATAAGGAAGGATAGTGAGAGTGTGATGGAGACTGGGGAAGTGGGTGCTTGGAGATCTGGAGATGGGAATTGAATGGTTTTAGGGTGTGGTGGTCAAATGAAGGGCTTAGTGAGCAAGCAGCTGTGGAATACTGTCTGTGAAATTAGAAATTGGCAAGCAAGTTCTGAGGGATTGATCAAAGCTCTTCAGTTCTTCACTCCTGCCTGAACAAAGTGACCAGGAAACCAGCAGCAGCTGTTTTATGTAAGCCTAGCATCCCAGAGTGCAGATGCGGTGTAGAGGGATGAGAGGCGCTCCTATGCAAGTGAATTCCACGGAATTTGGCCAGACAGCTTATCAAATCTGCTCAAACAAAATAAAATGAGGAAACATGCATCTAATGGAATAATGGCACACAGGTGACATAATGCGCGGAACATGACTTTCCTTTATCGATTCATCTGCAATGTCAGCTTAATAACGATGCAAGTGCTGAAACTCTGAAGAAATTCTGGGTCAAAGTTGCTTGTTATGGCCCAAATTCTAATAGAGCTACTCCAGAGGAATGGAATTTTGAGAATTATACTGAACTTTAGTTGCAATCGAAACAATTCAGACACAAGCATTCTCCTAAAGAGAGGAGATTACTTTCACTTAACTGTTGCTGATAAAGATCATTCCTATCTTAAATGCAAAGCACTGTCTGAACAATTTTCCTTAGTTCACTCTGCAATTTGGAACAAATGGAATAAGACCTGTGTGGTGTGCCTTTACAATCATCTTGCTCAGGGTTCAAATTAAGTTGTCTAAGTTGAAATTTATTTCACAAGTCTTGACAGATTTGAGCCAAAAATTGAGCTTTCATTCATTTGAGGCTTCGATGTTTCTGATTAGGATATTTTATTTTTTAAGAAAAGGGTTTAGATTTGCCTGGAGTCAAATTGGAAATTGCCAATCCCAATTTCCAATTGAATGCATTTTGTGAAGCGGTCCAACCATCAGACAGAATTTTAGAAACATGCATCAAATTTCAGGCAAGCTTTGCCAGTGTCCTCAGGAGAATGAAGATAGTTAAATAAAGCAATTGTAATAAGAGTTCTAATTTGTTTCAAATGCACAATTTAAAACTGGAAGAACAAATTATAAATGAGTAAAAATAGTAATTGTGTTCCTGTGCCTAGAAAAACAGTCACACTTAAACTGTTATTATACAATGTGAGAGTTCCTGACTGCAGTGATAACACCAATGTGATATGTCACGTTGTAAGGCCATTTGAAAATGCATGATTCACCATAGCAACAACGGTACAACAGAATGTATTATCAGGCTATGCAAAAGGCTCTCAACCACTCTTGTACAGGTTCGCTCCCTCTGGAATGTAAATTTAATACATTACACAGCAAAAACAAGATAAAGCTATTGGACTGGATGGAAGAACTGGGACTTCTTGCACAATTGAGGCGCAACTTGTATGATAATGGGTACCAGTTGGACGCAGTGAGATCTCTCACTTTGTCATTCTGTAGAGAACGTGGTGCCCAGTACCAAAGCCTGAAGTATTTTTGTGTCAAAACATCTCACCATTTACAGCTGCGCCATCAGGTTCATTGCTAAAGCCGTATTTGGATTGGTTACATACTTGTAAATAATTGGACAACACCTTTCCTGAAGGACAAAGAAAAGTGGTGGCAATTTCATATCTTCACTCAAAAAGTCCTCAGTTAAAGGGTTCTCCAGCACCCTTTCGATGCATGATATGTAAATGTAATTGTGAAGCAATTCTTTCTGGGATTGAGGAATGGTTGCTGGGATGGGGGAGGGGTGGTGATGAGGATCCATCTGGCGAGCTGTGCAACTGTCATACTCTGATTTGTTCTTGTTGCAGCATAAGCACTGTACTCCTGCAGCTCTGGAGATGTATTACTCGGAGCAGGAAGCAGGTTCTCGTGGAAGCCTCTACACAGTTATTAGCCACTTAAGCCAGGCTAAGAGAACCATGCCCGATCTGTCATCGCCATGGCTACCAGTGCTTCCTGCTTTGAAAGGACCAGCAAAATCAAAAGAGGAACCTAACAGCTCCCATCAATAAAGAAGGAAGACAAATTCATCTCATTGTTCACTGAAGTTCTGAAGTACTCAAGCATTACATAATCCTCTTTACAAAGAAAAGTTCTTTCTTTTAAGGATGTGTATGTATGTGCGGGATATCTGCGTGAGAATGCGTGTGTGTGTGTGTGTGTGTGCATGTATGTGTGTGTGTGCGTGTCCATGTCCATGTCTGTGTCTACGTGAATGTGTGAGCAAACCACAGTCCGTTCGCTTGACATATTTAAGTTTGGTTGAGCCAGTGTTGGTGTGAAAATGAAGGCTAATTGAGTCTGCCCTGAAAAAAACAGTCCAATATGGCTCCAAAAGGTAAGGTAGAAGAAGCAGGAAAGTGACTAAAAACATATTCATGGATTTTAGACTTGAGGCACCAGTTTTGAGACAAGGCCTCCCAGATATGAATCATGGAATCATACAACACGCAAGATGGCCATTTAGCTCTAGTGTCTTTGAAATGTGCACAAATATTTCTGAGCTGTGTAGTGATTATTTCATTCCACCTAATTCAGATTCACAAATATTATCATTTTGATCCTCCGATGACCCCCAACTTTGTTACTCGTTATTAGCATCAAAATTTGATAGCGAAAGGCAATTAACAATACAAAAAGCACCCAAAATGAATGCCACTTGGTGATAAACCCAGGATTTATAACTGGGGAAAAAAGAATAGGTGCTCTCCAATTTGGAGCACCCCCAGATTTGTGATTGTAATTGAATTTAGTTTAGGAAAACCCATACCCCCTCCTCTCGTTTCTGCACTTTCAGATGCAAATGGTCCTGTTTGGGAGCTTTCTTTAATGCAGTCAGACATACCTGAGTAGCAAATTGGTGGAACCCAAGATTACTGCTGTTTATAACAATGCCTTTCTGCTCTCCTTCATTGAGATGATTAACGTTATTTGCTTTTTTTAAATTCTGGTTTCCCGTCAAATAAGCTAATGTGTGCGCGGCCATGGGTATCATGTTTTGTGATGGTGCCACCACATTAATAACATTGATGATATACTTTTGACTGTTATTACAGTCCTAAGACACAATCTCAGAGTGTTATCAGTTGTGGCATCACTATGTTAAATAGCCTGATGAACACATATAAGAAACAGTTTCTTTCTAATGATTGTACAGCTGCACGGTAATAATGAAATGCAACCTCGTTAATGTTTGCTATGAATAGAAGCTACCTGCAACCAGTTTAGCTCTTTTGATTTTAATTAGTTTTAAATGGTGTTTCATTAGTTCTGAACTGAATATGGGATTTGGCAGTATTTCCTCAGCGTGGCCAGATGCATCTTTTTACACCATTTTCCTTTTGTTGCACCTAGTTACCTGATGTTGCATTGTCAAGGTGGAAGGATAAAAGGTTTCCAGCCTCATGATGTGAAGGGACATATTATTTACTGCTTGCTCTAAGCTGGAGCACCTTAATCACCCTGCTTTATTGAGAGAGCATTTTCCCGCACAGTGTCATTTCATTCCATCCTTTCCCTAAAGCCCTCATCACTGAAGGAGTGTTTATGAAATTCCGAGCTAATGTCCTGGAAATAGCATGTCTGCGGCTCAAATATCATGACATTGGCTGCTTTAGAATATGCGCTTTAGTGGACGCTTCATGTGCAAGGGTACAGAGCAAGTTATAAAGTTCATCCTTTAGGCAGTGATGACAAAAACCAACACTGCAGGCAGCCAGTTTTGCTGGTAAAGTGATTCATAATGTAGTGTGCCAGGTGACACTCCTCTTCAATAATGAGTGGCTGGGAGGCATAATAAGAGGTAGGTCAAAGTATATGGTCGAGTAAATCAGGAGAGTGAATAACTGCAGTCATATTAGATTCATAAGGACTAAATACAAGAGTTTTTTCAGTGTAATTAAATTTGTACAAGTTATGAAGGAGAACAAAAGATAAATGACAGGATTAAGGGAATGACTCTGACCTCCTAGGGATCCAGGAGTTAAGGGTAATGAGTAAATTAAGGACTGGCTTTGTCCTGTGCCAAAATGTGCAAAAATTCAGAGTGGACTGAACGACCTTTGAGCAGGCAGTCACATCAGCCTTGCTATTGTTCCCAGATTTTCCAATAATCAGATCCTTTTAAAGTTTGGGTGCAAGTTACCATGTAATTTGGAGCAGCTCCAAGCATCGATAGTTTAAATTCAACTCGTGGTCTCACTGGAGTGCACAGCATTGTGAAGTACAGGCACTCCAAGCCCATAGACAACTTAGATTTCACCTATCGGGGGCTGCTTTCAGATTAGCAAGCAGGCTTTGTGATCTGAGAAGAAATTTAAAAATGGAGCTGAAACAGAACCAAGATGGTCCACTTGTGAACGTTGTACCAACAAAATAAAGTGTGTTTAAATTAAATCTGCTTCACTCCTTCAGCTCTGTTGGGTAGGTTAAAAGAATGAAGTTCATCAGGGCCAGTTCTGACACAAAATGCTGTACAAACTTGCAAAGGGGAACTTGCATCAGAAGAAACTTTCATTGCTTCAGCACCCTGGTATAAATGTCAACTTATCCTGCTGTGGAACTAATCCATTCATTTATGTACATGGCATTCAATTGTGAGTAGGAGTACTGGAGCTGACAGATTTTTAATTAAGTTTCTGCAGGTCGCCTTTGTTTGTCTAAAAATCTGATGAGACGCTGCTTTTAATAAATATAATAAATGTTGTAATACTGTTGTGACACTTCTGTCAGCATTCGTCTTAGTACGGCTACTGTTCACTGTATGACACTGTTAATTTAGCAACACTTTGTATGTATTTATAGATCTTGTGAGTTTCACATTGCTGCCAGCACTTTGAGGTGTTTTAAGTGCCAAAATGGAGATAGTGATTACTTGCTTTCAAACTGATAAAAATAAATGGACGGTTTTCTCTTCTGAAGTGGGTCTCTCAGCTTCTTCAATTTGCATTAATAGCCCATCCAGAGAATGTTCAATATTTGACCCTAAGCACCAACCCAAAACCGATAAATGGAAAGACAGCAGATCTCTGCCTGTGATCCATGGCTGCAACTGAAGAGGAAGCTGCACAAGTAAATGAGGATGAAAGAAATGGAAGGTTGTGTTGATTGGCTAAGGGGTGACGAGTGGAAAGAGATGGAGCATAAACACTGGTAAAGACAGTTCGGAGGTGGGGTCACTTGACCCGAAATGTTAAATTTAATTTCTCTCCACAGATGCTGCCAGACCTGTTGAGCTTTTCCAGCATTTTCAGTTTTTGTTACTGGTAAAGACAGGTTGGGCCAAATGGCCAGACACTTTTCCGTGTAAAGTATCAACTTCAATAAGTGAAAAAATAAAGAACTGTGGATGTCGGAGATTTGAAAGAAAAACAGAAATTGCACAAGAAACTCAGCGGATCTGACAGCATCTGTAATGAGAGAAACAGAGTTAACATTTCGAGTCCAGTGAAGCATCTTCGGAACTGTTCTTTTAACTTTAATAAAAACATCAAGCGAAATTCTGTTAAAAATATTTTAAACATTTTAAAGACTCACTGCTGTTTAGTGCAGACACAAAGCCAGGCACTTTTGTAGGGAGTTACCTGGCGAGGGAGTATTGATGTGTGAATGGCAATCTCACATCTACAGCATGTAGCAGTAACCTATGCTGTAACCAGTCTGCATGTCCATCAAGCAAGTGGTTATGTCTCAAAGTTGAGAGAGTTTTTATCCTCAGTTGTGTCAAGGCAGGGGCCTGCTGTCAGTCAAGGATAGGTGATGGCCTTAATGATAATATCACTAGTCTATTAATGCAGAGAGACAGGTAATGTTCTGGGGATCTGGGTTTGAAATCTGTATGGCAGATGATGGAATGTGAATTAAATAATAATCTGGAAATAAGAGTCAAATGTTGACTGTTGTTGAGTGTCAGGAAAAGTCTATCTGGTTAGAAATGGAAACTGCCATCCTTACCTGGTCTGGCCTACATGTGACTCCAGACCCACAGCAATGTGGTTGATTCATAACTGCCCTCTGGGCAATTAGGGATGGGCAATAAATGCTGTCCTGGTCAAAAATACTCATCTCATTAATGAGTAAAAAGAAGGGATGAAAGGGCAGCATTTGCAATCAATTGGGTGGTTTGGATATGGTCAGACATCTGCTCTTGATGGTTAGGGTCAAGGGTCCATGGCTCTGCAGTCTGGGAAATGGGCTACAGTCCGTCCTGGAGCTCTGGCGCACGCAGCCAGGGGGTTCATGGACTTTCAGGTGGGGAGCTGCACATAGAGTGGCCAGGGCTCTAGGGAACACTAATTCAGGGCTGTCTGTCCAAGCTAGCCTGGACAATGAGGCATGGTCAGTCCTGGGGCTCAATACAATGAATACCATGATGGGTGATGGTGTGGGGGGCAGTGCTATCAAGGGGACACTGTTTTGGAGAGGAAATTGTGGGGGTTTTGGTTTCAGTATTTGAGGATTGGAAGTAGCAACCCTGGACTCAAAGGGACAGGGATGGTGAAGGGGAGAAATTCACTATATCAAGGGGTGAGCCAGCAGTGCATGAAGGGGGGAACAAGGGATGCTGTAGGAGTTAGGCTTATAGGCAGCCACTGCCCCCTTAGCCTCAATATGTGGGAGGGGACTGTGCAGCACGATGCTGAGCAGAGGCAACTCTAGTAGTGGGCCTTTTGGGTTAAGAGTGAGAGTTAGAATGTTTGTTCAACATTATCTAGGTCTCTGGGTTAACAGTCCAGCGATAATAGGCCATTGCCTCCCCTGTGCTTCCTTCCGTGATCTGCCAATTTCAATGCCGCCATGATGCCTGTATATCCTTGAAATGTCTTGTGTCCCTGCTGTGTTTGAGGAGCAAGGTATCTTCCAAGGCTGACTATTGGGAGTCAAGGGCTCCCCACAATAACCCCGGCTTACGCCTCTGTTACACAAACCCCTGACTGAGGTGGAGAACAGCCCATTTTTCAGACAGGCCATAGTAGAGCAAGCTATGGGCCTCCTTAAGATGCGGTTGTGCTTTATCGACCAGTCTGATAGGTACTTGTTAAGAGTGTGGCCTATAACCCCAGCAGGCTGCATTCTGCACAACTGGAGCAGGCAATGAAGGGATGTGATGGAGGCTGATGAACTGGGAGAGTGGGAT